CCTCACCACCTGCAGGCTTCGCTTTTTTGCTTTCTTGCCCCACTTACTAAACCAGATTCGGCCCCAGGTGGACCATGGCCTAGACGTTATGTTTGTCTGGTCAGTTTGGAATGCAGGGTAGGACACATTTCCAGCTGTAACGGGGGCAGACACTGAGTAAAGAAGCCTAAGCCTGGAGTGATGAAAAACATAGGCAAGACCTGAGTTCTATACACACCCAGAAGCCAGAACGACCTAGTTATAAACTTCACCATGCGCAGATTTGGCGATCTGGGTGAAGGAAGCGTAGAGTGGCCTGTCCTCTATGGCGACTCCTCCTTCCAGATCTGTTGGGAATCTCCCTGTAGATACCCACTGAGAGTCTATCACACAAAGCCAAAACTGCACGTCCTTCTTCAACCTTCCTCTACTAGCAGGAGAAAGGAATGGCACCACCAGCCCCAGCATCTCACGCGTCCGCCTGCTCAGACAGTCTGGCATCCGCTCATCAGCAAGTCTACCTCCCACACTCTGTAATCTGCCCCGCCTTCCATCCTATTACCCCCGTCCTGACCACCATCATCTCCCACTGAGACTATTTCATCCATGTCCTGAACAAGTAACCAGGATCCAGGTTCTCCTTCTCTCTGGTGGCTATTTCTGTAGCAGCCTTGTCCCTCAGATATGTATGTGTGCACCTGAGTGTGTGTGTGTGTGTGTGTGTGTGTACACCGCATATGCAGATGCACTGAGGCCAGAAGAGAACACTGGATGCCCTGAAACTGGAGTTACAGGCTGCAGTGAGCTACATGTGGGTGGTGGGAACCAAACCCAGGTTCCCCCTAAGATCAGCAAGGACTCTTAACCACTGAGCAACCACTCCAGTCCTTCCCTCTCCCTGTTTATGTGTTTGTTTGTTTGGAGATGAGATCTTGAGCTTTAGCTGGCCTGGCACTCACTCACTCACAATGATCCTCCTGTCTCAGCCTCCCCAAAGGTGGAATTACTACCATGCGTCACCAGACCCAGCCCAAAGTAATCTTTCAAAAATGCAAATATGATTACGTTTTTCCCTTGCTTAAAAACCGTCTCTATCAGAGGCCCCTTGTCATCTTTTGATAGATAACATCTCATTTCCTACGGGGTAAGAAGCCTCGGCTTTCTAGTCCCAAGTCTTATCTCTTACAGTTCTGATTTTAATGTGCCTTGGTCCAGTTCCATGCCTCTACCATATTTCTTTCTAAGTCCCATGCTCTCTTCCTCTAAAGCTCTGTACATGCTACCACCTCTTTCCATTCCTTGTCTCAACCCTCCCTTAGCATTCCTGCCTACTTCTCAGGTCACTGATTAGATGTCAGTTTCTCTGGGTATATTCTCTTGCTTCCCGAAGCTCTTTGTGTACTTTCTGCACCTACAATGTCACCATACTTTTCACAGGTATAGCTAACACCTGTTTAATCATCCTACAATGTCACCATATTTCTCAGGGTTATTGCTAACACCCGTTTACCCGTTCTTTTTCCCTGCCTCAGGATGTGATGTACTCAATACAGAACTGAATGAATATGCGGATGGCTGTATACTCAGCACTCAGAGGCTCTGAAAAACACAATCAAATCTCTATCCTCAGAAGTTTATGATGAACACAAGCTAGAATATCTTTATCACCCACAAAACCACTTGTCAAAGTTAGACAATGTCTAACACTAAATCAGGACCTCTAATTCCAGGCAGGACAAACACTCACTCCTGCTCAAACATACCTGTGATTCTCACATATGACTTGCTTTCACCTTGTCTATCTACTGATCCAGCCTGTGCCAGCACCCATTTCTGGTCCACACAGAGAGAAGAGATCTAAGCTGTAAACGAACAATGGGCAAGAGCAGGAAAGAGCTCAGTGCGACCCACAGAGCTTGCACCCCTGTACAGTTCTGATTAGGCAGCTGGTGGGACCTGAACTTCAACAACCAGCAGAGGGGTTTAACTCATGCACACTCCGGCCAGCTCGACAGCTGCTCCCGGGCATACGGGCTGGAGGGCTGGGAAAAGGTGCTGCCACTTCCTCCTTGTCTGCTGACAACTTCAGAGGGCAGCTTTCACATGTCACTTGGGAGAATTCAATCACAGGCCCCACAAATAAGTTAATATTATACATAGAGAGACAAACTATTACACACACACACACACACACACACACACACACACACACACACAGTATATCCTTTCAGCAACACAGGACTTGATGAATATCTAGTGCTGAGCGATCTGCAGTTTTTGGTTGTAAACCTAGCCTTTAACAGCTGAGCCATCTCTCCAACCCCAGATCTGCATTTTTATATGGCTGCCTCCTAAACTCAAGTCTTATTTCAGGCGGTGCTCAGAGATACCTTGTTGAATCTTTCTTTCCTTTCTTTCTTTCTTTCTTTCTTTCTTTCTTTCTTTCTTTCTTTCTTTCTTTTCTTTTCTTTTCTTTTCTTTTCTTTTTTTTGGGGGGAAGGGAGGGGGTGTTTTGTTTTGTTGAGACAGGGTCTTACTATGTAGCTCTAGCCATCCTGGAACTCACAGAGATCTGACTGCCTGTGCCTTCCGAGTGCAGAGATTAAAAGCATGAGCCACCAGGCCCTGCTGAATCTTTAAATATATATATACATACATATATATATATATATATGTTTTATTTGTATATATTTATATATTTTATTTGTGTGTGTGAGAGAGAGAGACAGACAGACAGCGCACACAGGTACATGGGTACCATGGTACACATAAGGCAGGCAGTCAGCTTTCAAAACTCAGTTCTCTCCTTCTATCTTGGGTTCCGGGGATCAAACTCAGATCATGCACGGCAAGCTCTGCTACCTGGGCCATCCTGTTGGTTCGTATCTTTCTTTCATGCTCCTTTTCCATTCTGCCAGTCTTTCGCACGTATATTGCACACATATAACTTCAAAGACTACAATTATATTCCCTCTGTATATCCATTCTTATATCTTCTATACTACATTTATGTAAACATATTATCATAAGTGTGTATGTGTGAAATCACAGAGACCTTACATTATAGTAATTTATGGATTTTTTTTCAAAGCTACTGTTGATTAGATAGCTTCTGCCTTAGATTCTGACTTTAGATTCTAAGGTTCTCAACCTTCCTAACGCTGCGACCCTTCATTACAGTTCCTCATGTTGTGGTGACCCCACCCCATAAAATCATTCCATTGCTACTTCATAACTATAATGTTGTTCCTGTTATGACACGTAATGTAAATATCTGTGTTTTCCGATGGTCTTAGGTGACTCCTGTAAAAGGGTCGTTCGAGATCCACAGATTGAGAAATGCTGTTTTAGGACATCACCTCCATACTGTAGGATACAGTTCTACCTCTTGGGTATCAGCCATCCTCCGAGTTCCTCCTCCAGCATCTGCATCAAGCCAATAACCTCATGGCTCCAGGCAGCATTCAGCCTCAGTTTAGAACCCTAGTGGTCAAGTTGACAATGACAGTCTACCTACCTGTAACACTACCACATACTGGGATCCTCCCCAGCCTAAGGGGAAGAGCTAGGTCTAGGGGCACAGCAGGCCAGTCTGTCAGGCCCTCAGGTTTGCTCCTGGCTCCGGATTTTCTTTTCTTTTTTTCCATCAAGAACAGCTTTTACATCACACTGGGGCGGGGGTGGGGAGTGGGAAGGTGACAAGGCTGTTCCCCTCCCCAGCACCCAACAGGCTCTCAGTCCAAACGGATGACAGGTAGATTTGGGAAACCATTCTAAAGGACCTCGGAACGACTGGTTTGTGTGCAGTCTTCAGTTTTCCAGCTCTGCCACAATCCTACAACAAGTAAAGGACTGGGACTTCCAGCTACCCTGGACGGTGTCCACGGGCTCTCAACACCCCGGACTCAGTGTTCTTCCCTAGCACTCACTGGCCTGAGGCTCCACATTTCCAAAGAGCGGAAAACAATTGCTAAAATTGTCTCCTGCCTTCTTAACCCGAGTGGATCAGAGTTTCCATTTTTCAGATAAGGAAACTGGAACGTGTAGAAGCAAGACAAAAATCACAGGTTTCCTAGACTGATCTAAATCAATATTACCAGATGGCTCATTTGGCTTTTAGTTATTACTAGGGGGCATCTTTTCCTTCACAAATTTCACAAGTATTTCCTTACCCTCTCCCTCCAAATTCTTAAATGCCTTTCGCCTTCATGCTTCTCTTTCTTCTCTCCAACTCGGATTTCCCGAAGGTCTGACACTGCCCAGAATTCCCGTGGACCTTGCTTCAAGAATACATCTCTCCTTTGCTGTGGCTGAGAGCTCCCTACTCATCTGCCCCGCGCCGCCCCCATCCTTGCTCAGCCTCTTTGTAACCGACCCACTTCTCCAGTCCTTCCCCCCACCCCTTTCCCATCACAGAGGGTCCCCTTCCCGCATACAACCTGCCCCCCAAAGTTCCAGACTCGTTCCTCCAGCTCTCCCGGGTGCAAGGCGCGCCCGCTCAACAACAGTTCAGGCCTGAGCCTTTTCTTTCCATCACCGTCCGTCCCATCACCTCTGCGTCGCAGTCCCGGCTCCCGCGCGCGCTTACCCGACCAGAGGACGAGCTTGCCGTGCGCTTCCTCCTGGGAGTCCGAGTCCCCGGCCAGCAGAGTAGAGGTGGCTCCGTAGGGCAGCGCCGAGCCCAGGCACACGTTGTAGCGCAGAGGCTCGCAGTGGGCGGCCCGGCCACAGTGGCTCAGCAACAGCGGCGGAGGGCTGGTCACCGGCGCGTTCCTCCTCCCGCTCCCGCCGGCGCTGCGAGGCCCAGGCCCGGTCGCGTTCCCGCTCAAGGCCGCCCCCCGGCCTGGGCCCCCCAGTAGTACCACCAGCAGCAACTGCAGCAGCCTCGGGGACGCCAACTCGGGCCCACGCGCGGGGCGGGCAGCGGCCATGGCCAAACCCGCCAACTCAGCAGAAGCCGAGGCGCCCCCGCGCTCCCCGGAGTCCCTTGGCCAAAAACACGACCCCGGGGGCCGCGGAGGCTACTTAGGCGACCGGTGCGCCCCGTGAGTCTGGGGCCGGCTTTCGCCAGGCGCAGCGCGCGTCCGGGCCCCTCGGCTCCCAACTTTGCAAACTTTGGAACCCGGGCCCCATGTTGGGCAGCGCAGGCCCGGGCCAGGATGCACGGACTCCAGACTCCCTCGCCTGGCGGTCGGAGTTGTCTTCAGCCCTGGGAGCCCCCTGGGGCTCCGATCTCCAGCCCCATTCCCTCTCCCACCATTAAAACCAACTCCCAGCCCCTCGATGGAGGCCAGGCGCTGGCCGAGGGGTGCGGGAGTCGATCCCCGGCTCCGCCCCCACGCCAGCCCGCGGCCCAGCAGCCACCTCCGCGCGAGCGCGCCGCAGCCCCCTGAGCTCTCCCTGCCGACTACCCGGCTCCTTTGTTGCTCTAGCTGGCCCGGCTCTCTGGAATGCATGGGCCTCGCGGAGCCAAGCCCTGCCCCCCCTCCTCCGCCGAGGCTAGGGGAGGGCCTGGGCGAGGGAGAGCAGGAGGAGAGTAAAGCTGGGGAGGAGGAGCCCGAGCTTCGGCGGCCTAGGTTGGGGGATTTGGGAACCTTCACCCCCACCCGGCGCCATGCGGGGTTAAGATGCGTGCAAGTCGTGTGCCAGAGCTGCTATGAGGCACTTGACTGAACCTTTAGTTGGTCCGAGGGTTGTTCGACGTGATGATTTTCTGGAGAGGACTTTTCTCCTGGTTTAGGGTAGCAGGGGGATGCCCAAAGTAGGCAAGTTTTCACTCCATCACTGCCCAATTCCCCAGCCCCGTCAATCTTTCTTGCTTTTGGTTAGATCTTTCAACCTAACCTGGAACCCTGGTGGAGAAGAATCGGGTTTCTACCTCTTCAGATTCTTCCAGCTCAAGATATATGTGGGGAAATGACCTCAGAGTCACCCAGAGTAGCGCTGTTACCTATGCGAGCAGATGTCTGGCAGGAGAACATGTCAACACAAAGCCCTTATTGCTCAAATGTGTTGTCTGGACTGTGATTTCCACTACGGTCTCTGGTGTGCCTTCGGTTTTGTCCACAGGAAGCCAGTCCATCTTGGATGAGTCCTTGCTGCTCATCTGCCCCAGGAAGTTTCTGCCATCCCCTTCCCGACTCCACTCCACTTGTTGATCCATTATTTCAGGCAGCTCCTTTAAACCACAGCTCCCTTACGCAAGGGAGGCTAGGAGACTGGTTACCTCAAGTAACTTTTCCTTGTGACTGATCCGGCAACTCAATAGCGCAGCTTTTCTTTTCTTGTTTCCGTAAAATTAGTTCACAGCCTAGCCCTCTTAGCAAAAACAGTTTCTGTTACCCCCGTTGTTGAAGAACAAATGAGCTACTAAACTTCAGATACATTCATAATTGGTACCTGAGTCCCCAGAGTTATGGGAGGAATTTAACTCAGTTTGGGGGCTTGTTTTATGTTTTAAGTCTGCTCCTGTCGCTGTGATGAATATCCGGACAGAAGCAACTGTAAGGGAGAAAGGACTTGTTCTGGGCTCACGATTTCAGGTCACAGCCCATAGCCATGGAGAAATTCAGGCAGGAAATGGAAGCATCCACAATCAAGAGCAGAGAAAATAAATATACACGTGCTTAGTGGTACTCATCGCCTTCTCAGTACTTACACAGCCCAGGACCCCCTGCCTAGGGAATGGTGCTGCCCATCGTAGGCGGCCTGGCTCTATCAATTAGTGTAATCAAGACAACCCTCCACAGACACACTAACAAGTCAGCTTCATCTAGAGATCCCGCACTGAGATTCTCTTCCCAGGGGATTCTAGGGTGTGTCAAGTTGACACTTGTCTTCCTAAAATCCTGGGATGTACTCAAGTGGTGGCATCCTTGTAGAACTTGAAGGTTTTCATTTTACTCTGCTGACAAGATGTCCTCAAGAAACATCCACAATGTCCTGGAAAAGCAGGTAAGTTTTCTCCTCTGGTACAGGGACCTTATCTTCTTATACTCTTTATATCCACAATACATTTAGCTAATATAGTATATACATTTAGCTCATTTAGTATATACATATTAATCATTTGATTAGTTATTAAAAATGTAGTATATTCGAGTGTGACATGGGAATTTATAGCAAAGAGAAATCAGTGTGAGAAGTGGATGATGTGGGATTTGAACCCATTACTATGGTGTGACTAGGAGGGACCAGAAAGAAAGAGAGAAATAGATGAAGACGATATATGTGGGGAATCCATGTCCACAACTGAGTCCATGGTTGGCCAGGTAACTGGATGTAGTTGAGGATCAACAGGGAAACTTATTGATAAAAAACCTCACATAAATACTTATTTCTATTGGTAATAAAAAGTGCAAATGATATGGGGAATGATATTAATCATTCATAACTAATAAGAAGATGTGTTGATAGCATGAACGGCAAGAAGCTGGAGGCAAGGGACCATTTGGAGGGAAGTCATTAATGATTTATGGGAAAAAAGTAAAAATAGACTATGTCCTTAGGGCATAACATCCCCACAGGAAAAATAATTTAAAACATAATGATCTTCTTCGGGGTTTCTTTTTTTTTGTGATAAAATGAAATAGCTGTTATAACCTGCCTCCATCTGTACTGTACAGAAAACTGCCTCGGAGCCTAAATCACACTGACACTTTACTTTGTGAACCTCATCCACTGATTTACGGGCTGGTTGTTGTCATGGGTAGTTTTGTTTTTTGAGATTGGCTGTCACTATGTATCCCTGGCTGGCCTGGAACTTGCTACTTAAACCAAATTGGCCTTGAATTCAGATCTGCCTGCCTCTGCATTCAAGTGCTGGGATTAAAGGCGTGCAACACTATGACCAGGATCATGAGAGCTTTGAAGGCTGGAGGCAGTTTCTCATAGAATACTCAGTATTCCAAACATTAAGAAAGAACCTCCGATCTTCCTGCACTGTCACCATGGTGCACATGAATGCCCTCGCTGATGCTCTCAAGAGCATCAACAGTGCTGAGAAGACAGGCAAAGGCCAGGGCCTGCTCCCAAGTCATCATTCAGTTTCTGACTGTGATGACGGAGCGTGGTTACTGGCGAGTTTGAAATCACTGATGACCACGGAGCTAGGAAAACCACTGTGAACCTCTCGGGCAGGTTGGCCAAGTGTGGAGTGGCAAGCCCTAGATTTGATGTGCAACTCA